GATGTGTACATCAGTGTTGCAACTATTTGTATAATAGTTGTATTAACTGGTCTTCCTTGTAAGTGTAAGCAAGGTAAGCACCTCTTTAACTTCATAAGGGGGAAGGAGAATCAAAGTCAGCAACCCAAGGCTGATTCTTATGAGGTGGAGGTCAGACATGCCATTTCCCTCTCTCCTTTTTACCAATTCTGACACCATCCATCCCTCCCACGGCACTGTCTACTTCTCTGCTGTGTTCAATAATTCATTGCAATGGCACATAGAACTCAAAGACCATACTCACAGTTATAAAGTTTATTAGGGGAGTAACAGGTTACAATTCAGGTTCAGGAACCCTCAGTTCTTCGATCAGGACAGCCTCAGCTGTCCTGGTAAGCATGTCTCTCCCTGGCTTCTTGGCCTGTGCCCGAAAGCACTCAGCTTTCTCACCTCATGATCTCCTGCTGGTCTGCTGCTGATCTCCTGGTTCTGCTGCCTCTGCTGCTGCCGTTCTCTGCCGCTGCTTCTCACCATCTCTTGCCATGTCCAGTGTTACAGCTGTCTCTCTGTCTCCTGGTTCTGCTGCCTCTCTCTGTCTTCCGTGTTACAGCTCCTCTCTGTCTCTCCATGTCTCCCTTTAAGCCTAGTGGGATGGCAAAACTGGCCAATCCCTTTGTTAGGGTTCCATACACCTTATTTGCATGCCCCCCCAAGGGTGCCATGTACCTTATTTACATTATTAGCAAGCTATCCAATCCCCTTAGTGGGCCATAAGCACCTCATTTGCATAGTCCTCACCCAGTCATTTGGTGAGAGTTACAAAAACTATGGCTAGAAGTGCCATATCAAGTAATTCACTGTACCACACCACCTCTGTTCTCATCTATCTTCCAACCTTTCCATCAGAAGGTAAGACAACTCTATGAACCCTAAGGACTAACCCTCTCCACCTCCACTCATTGCGCAGGGCCCAGACCTATAGTGACTAACACCAGGAGTGAGCACCAAACCCTTTACTCACTACCAGGCTGGAAATCTGGGAAGCCAGCTGGGCCCTGCATCCAAGAATGTTCCCATTTTGGAGTACTTCCAGAGTACAAATCACAGGAGCTGACTGTCCCTGGTAAAGCGCGAGAGCCGTGACTCCTAGTCTGTTCTAGGCAAGTCATGAACTCTCAGCCAGAATGCCTCAAACAGGCAGAAACAGAGAAAAATCACAAATATTCAGAGTGTGAAGATGCTGGTATCACCTTGGCCAAATCCAAGTGGTCTTCATGGAAGAGAGCCCAAACTAGATTGTGAAGAATGCTGCCAGCAGTTGCAATAGAGCTGTGAATTCTAGGCAGGATGAGAGCCCACAGGACAAGAAAACTAAGGGTACGTGAGAAAAGGGGGCTGGCTGAAGGGCAAGCAGTAGCCAGAGCTGAAGAGCTGAGGAGGATTATGGAGGGGATGATCTGCAAGAAATGTTGGAATCCAGCTTCTGGTGAGCAAGGTGACAGAAGCTGCCCCAGAATTTGAAAGGACAATCAGGGCAAAGGATATAGAAGGAGCCCTTGGGGTGGAAGTGATGCCCCAGGATCAGAGCTGAAGCATCCCCAAGAGAACCAGTCCCCAGGGGAACAGGCTCCTCCTCAGGCTCTCCCTCTTCATGCCTGGCCCAGCCTACCCCCACCGCTATAGTGGAGGGGCCCTGTTGATTACTCCCTGTGAGCATCCTCACACCCAGCACTAATAGCTTAATGTTTCCTCTCTCCTAGTGAGCAAGAGCCTGGGGAAGTGCCCGAGAAGGGGTATGGATGCCAGTGCAGGCCTGGGACCCTGGCACCTTGGCTCAGGGAAGACCCGAGCTCCTTTCACACCAGACGCTCTCCAGAGATTGGGGAAGGAGCTCCAGAGAACCTGGTTCTTGGTTACTGTTCTCCCTTTGGGCCCTTCCAAGGGCAAAAATCTCGGTCTAACCAGTGTCAGGCCTAAGTAAAACAGTGAAGCAGGGAATGTTGATTTCCCCTGCCCTGCCCTGCCTCTCTATCACTCTCTTTCTTGCTCCCATCTTCCCCCATAGCCAACTCAAAAACCCTCAGCCTGATGTCCTCATTCCTTGTCCTGTCCAAACCTTTGCTAGGGGCACTGACAACTGGAAAGTGGACAAAGATTTAAGATAGAAGAATTATCTCATGGTGGAACGCTTTAGACTGCTGGAGGGAGGGCTTTAGAGCAGAGTTCACTGGAGACGCCTGTGTCTATAGATGAGCGGGCCTAAAACTCTGGATGTTAGGTGTGTGCTCTGTGGGGTGCAAGAGTAACACTGCTTTTGAGCGGGGATTCACCTTGCACAGGCAGGATGGAAAAACTGAGAGAGGGTCCTGCCAAGGTGAGGTTGGAGCATTGGGATGCAGTCACCCAAGTTCATTATCACCAAGGCCCAAGGAAAAAGAATGAGGCAACTTCAAGTCCCATCAGGATAGATACTACAATCCAAGGTGCCCAGTCTCTGAAGGGTGTGGGACCCATGTCAAGGCTCTTGGGGGGTGGGGAGAGGGGCAGGTGTTGTCATCATGAGATAAGGATCAGGCTGTGAATCAGGGAGTCTGAGATAACAGAAGATACCAGAGTTCAGTCTAAGGAGCAAGCTCTAGGCCAGAACCAAGCTCTGGGCCCTGCTAGAAGAGAACCCTTACTACACAGCCTGAGTCTGTAAGAGTGTCAAGGAGGCTAACAGTTGGGCACCTGTTCAATGCCAGATACTTTATCATGTGCAGTAAACCCTCACAACAAGACTGTGCCATGGGAATGGTTCATTAACCCCATTTCATAGGTTCTAGAGCAGCTTCAGAGAAATTTTGAGACTGGCCTGATCAATTCCAAAGCCACCACACCCAGACATGGGTGAGAGGACAGCAGAAGACAATTTCCAGTCTCTTACTAGTGGGACCTGGCAGGTTGCTTGAGGCAGTGCAGGTGAAGGGATGCTCAAGATGAAACTCAGCCTGCTCTGGTAGCCCAAAGCTGGATCAAGGGTAGGCAGAAGTCATGATACACAATTATTGCTGGGGCCTGCAGCCCTTGACTCATTTTCATCTGGTACCATAGAAATGAATTCAGCCACCGAAGTCAGTTTCCTAGATACATAAAGTTCACTCCCTTACAATGTAAAATTTTTAAAAACTCATTTTGGAAGAAAATCATTCTAAAATGTTATATGCCTCTTCAGCACATCGGTGATCTAATACAAAATTTGTTGATAGCTGAGGACCAGCCATAGAAAGCAATGGTTCTCTGCAGCACTGTCTTCAGAGGCTTTAGCTATCGAGGGAACTGTTTGCCTTTATGCTTGAGGACCTCAGATCACTTTTAAAATGCTTGTGACTGCTTTAAAAGTTGTTTTGTTTTGTTTTTTATGGTGTTGCCTCCCTTGCTACCAGGCTACCAAGGGTCACTTGCTGCTCTAAAAGTGCTTCTAATCTACTAGTACAGGAACCCACCTGGACACATTAAAATTGTGAGTAAAGTAAGGATAAACAGGCCATGATTGAGGACTTAAGAGTCTATCCAAAATAAGTAAAGTTCATTGAGTATTTTAGCTGCTCAGGAGTCCTTTCTGCTCCCTCCAGACCCCGCTGCCATGTTGCCCCTTCCATTGGAAAAGTCCACTGAGTATTGCAATACAGATTGCTTCCAGTAATAGAAGACAGTTGGAATATTTGAAATAGGGATGTCAGCACAGAGTAGAGGTGAAAAACACACTAGTAGAGGTGAAAAACACACTCTCTAGCATTGGAATGATTTGGGTGGGAATCCTGGTGTTCCATTTCCAGCTGCAGGATTGATTTGGGGACAAGTCGCCTACCTACCACTCTGAGCCTTTGGGTAATGAGGATGAAAGGAGATAATGCAGAAAGATGTGTTAGCTGGCACAAATCAGGTGAGGCAGGAGAGGAAATTTGAATGTGTGCCTGGGTGCTGGGAGTGTCAGGAAGGAGGAGGACAAGAGTGGGAACCAGAAGGGTAAGGGAACCAGGCAGTGAAGGAGCGGTAAAGACCCACCATCCCAACTGCCCACAATAAGGTAGACATCATGTATCTGCATTCTGCAGCCAGAAGGCCTGGTGGCTATCCCAGAGAGCACTGGGAGGAGGGCTGGCACACCCACACAAACACACACAACTTGAGGTTGGGAGCTTTGGGAGGGCGAGATTAATTTCTCCCTTTCTTCCTGCTCTGATTAACGCTGGCTTGGTGTTCCTAGCAGGGAAGAAGAGACAGGGGAGGAGTCCCCACGATGGCTTGCACCCACCTGAACCTAACTGCAAAATGAAGCTGCCCAAACAAAGCAGCTCTCACCTTCCACAGAGTCCCCATTTTTGTAGGGGCCAGGCTGGGAAACGGGTACTCTTGTGGGTCTTAGTCCTGAGGAGGTAGGATGGGAAGGGAGAGGGTGGCAGGGAAGCTTTAGGAAAGGGACTACTCCCTTGTCCCTGCATCTATTTTAGCTTATTTCTATTTGCCTTTCAGATCAGCTTTTAGGCTTTTGCCCTTCCATTCAGCCACTGACCACTCACTCTGCGCTGGATACTGGGCTAGGGGGTTGGGAATACAGAGACAAATGACACATAGTCCTGGCTGCTCCAGAAAGAACTCGCGATACTCAGGTCCCAGGCTCTTGCCACATTGGCTCCCTTATCCACTGACCCCCCACCTCTCTGAACCTGTCTCCTCTGCATCTCTGACTTTGCCCTGCTCATGACTTAACTGGGCTCTGCAGTGAGTGAGTGAGTGTGTGTGTGTGTGTGTGTGTGTGTGTGTGTGTGTGTGTGTACACGCCCTGCTCATGACTTAACTGGGCTCTGCAGTGAGTGAGTGAGTGTGTGTGTGTGTGTGTGTGTGTGTGTGTACACGCTCCCTGCGGGAAGCAACACAAAGGAAAGGGAATGGGGAGGCAGAAAGGAGGGAATCCCACTGACATCACTGCTCATTAGCATGTGTGACCTCATCAGGGGGCGGTACAATCTCTCCAGGTGTGGGGGTGGGGGAGGGCACGGGTGGAGGGGTGGTATTTAAAGGGAAAAGCCAACTGCTGCTGAGGGAGGGAGCCGGTGCTGCAAGCCATTGGGCTGCACACGCCAAGCACACTGATGCAAACGGACACCGTAATGGACACCGACACAGAAACCACAGCACTCTTCCCCTCAGACAGCCGCCGGGGCTCCCCTCCAGGGATACCCACACCAGGTGAGGATTGACCTGGGCAGGTTCCAGCTGAAACCTTGGCGGTGGGAGCAAAAGCTTTGGTGGGGAGGTCAGAAGCAGAGGTTGAAGGAGCTAAACCCAAACTGCAAGGGGGAAGAGCAACTCAGGAAGTGGGGAAGACCCCTCTTTCACAGGGATCAGGGCTGGGCTAGGGTGGAGGGGTAGAAGAGCTGCCTAAATGCCCCCTCCCCCATCATGCCCAGAGCTTTGCCGGGGAACTTGTGCGTAGCCCCTAGGCCAGCCTCATTCCCAAGAGGCAGGGAAGGGCAGGGGGGAAGAGGGAAAGAAAAGCGGCAGCCCACAAACCGGGGAAACACAGGCAGTGGTCTCTTCTGAGGACCTGTTGTAAGGGTTTCTTCGGGCTCCAAGAGGCCTTGGCTGCCAGCCAGGTATTGATCCTGGGCTATTTCCAGCCTCTCTCCATCCCCCTTTGTTGTGTCTGTTGTTCCTCCTCCAGTTACCCTGACCTATGCACTGTCACTCCGTCTCACTCACACACACTCTCTCTCTCTCTGTGAACACAGTATTCTCTCCCGATCCAGGGACAGCCAGGAATGTAGGAAGATTCTCACACACAAGCACTCACTGGAGATGCTCACCTTGGGGGGGGGGGCACGGGAAAGGGTGGCCCCTCTCATACACACATCCATGGACACCCAACACGTATCATCTCAAAAAGCAAACTCCCTTCCCTGGGAACAGGCTCCCCACAAAGTTTTTGACTCTGCAGGTATCCATCTGCAGAGCTTAAGCAGCAGCTTCAGCTTCTCAGCCCCTCTGCCCCATCTCAGTTTGGGGACTGCCAGTTCTGAAAGCAGTGGGAGGCAGGGCCTCTTGGTGGAAGGAGGGGAAGCCTGGGATCAGAGGCCTAGTCTGGGGGTGTGCCTGTGTGTCAGTGTGTAGTGTGAGTGGGTGTGTGCACTTGCGCACAGGTGCCACCCCTGCATGGGACATGTTTTGAACAGGCTTGTGGCTGGGACCACGTTGGGGAAGCCATCAGGTCAACTCCTTGGAGCCCCAGGTTTCTGGCAGAATTCCATGTAAGAGGTCCGGCCAGAGTCTCAGCTCTTCGGGGTCCATGGTCATGGACTGGGCCTGGCTGAGCTTCTGGAGCTGAAACAGCCAGGAAGGACCCCACTGCAGATGACTGGGCATACCCTACTCAAAGCTTCCCTCTCTTTACTCCCTAGAAACAGTTGCCTCACTGCTGAAGAAGCCAGAGAAACTGCTGGCAGGGTTGGACCAGAACACTCCAACCCCTGCCCCAGGTGCCCCCAGACGAAGAGGCAGTATGCCTGTCCCCTACAAGCACCAGCTGCGGCGGGCCCAGGCTGTAGATGAACTTGACTGGCCACCTCAGGCGTCATCCTCTGACTCCTCTGACTCCCTGGGCTCAGGCGAGGCAGCCCCTAACCAAAACGATGGCATCTTCAAGGTCATGCTGGTGGGGGAGAGCGGCGTGGGCAAGAGCACCCTAGCAGGCACTTTCAGTGGTCTCCAGGGAGACAATGCTCATGAGCCTGAGAACCCAGGTATTTGGGGACCTCTGCAGGGGTTGCGGGGGCCTCTGGAGCCCTAGTCAGGAACAGAAGTGCTCATGGCATAAGCAGCCCCTAGAGGCAAGAAGCTAAGAGAGGCCTCTCCAATGCTTTCTGTGGCAGCCTCCCTGGAGGGGGTCCCTGGTTACGAGGTCTCACAACAGCTGGGGAGCCTTCTAATGGGCTCTATTCCCTCTCCCTGTTCTCCCAACAGAGGACTCCTATGAGAGACGAATCATGGTGGATAAGGAGGAAGTGACTCTAGTTGTATACGACATCTGGGAACAGGTGAGAACTAAGATGTGGTTGCAAGCAGGTGATGAAGCCCGTGAGAGCTGGGGAAGAGCAAAGTCTGGCTGAAGGCTAGTGGGACTGCAGGCCCTGGTTGCAACATGTATTTGGAACCTGACCTTTCATTCGTATCATCTCAGAGAGCAACGGCCCACATCAATGTGCTACTGTGGTTTCAAAAGCCACTGGATCTTCTGACCCAGAGGAAAGTAAGGATCTGATTGATAAACTGTGAAGCTACAAGCCAGGCTGAGCATCCTGAAATTGACCCCATCCATAAATTTTTCAGTCTAGAAGAGTCTGATCCGACAGAGCTCAGAGCCCTGGAGTATCAGGGAAGTAAAAAAAAAAAAGAAAAATCTGAATGTTTGGGCATTAGTGGTTACTATGTAGAAACGAGAGGCCAAATTACATTCATTTGAATAGTATTCATTTTTGAATAAATTTAAGCATAAAAAAGCAGGATGGCAACTCTAGTCTAGGATCCTATGTCCCCAATTCTCCTTGTGGGACTCACTAACTTCTCCTCCCCCTCCCCGGCACAAACACACTTAGGGTATGGAGATTCTGCTTCTGTCCTATAGGGTCACTATGAGTCGAAACTGATTGGCACCTAACAACAACAAATCCTCTAAGCAGGTGGCTTCTCCTTCACAGCCCATTTTCCTCATCCTTGACATAGAGGTGCTAGACAGGCTCTCCGATGCCTCCAGCCCTGACATTCCACGACTCTCTGCCCATCTGCAGGGGGATGCAGGAGGGTGGCTGCGGGACCACTGTCTTCAGACCGGGGATGCCTTTCTCATCGTCTTCTCAGTCACCGACCGAAGAAGCTTCTCCAAAGTTCCAGAAACCCTACTTCGGCTCCGGGCTGGGAGGCCACACCACGATTTGCCTGTCATCCTCGTTGGCAACAAGAGCGACCTGGCACGCTCCCGGGAGGTCTCACTGGAGGGTGTGTATCCTGAACCGCATCCCTAAAGGGGACCGCTCTTGCTTCCCACATCTTCCCCCTAAGGCTTTTTGACCCTCACTGGGCATTTACCCCCGGCTAAGGGCCCAGGGCCTTGAGAATTCCTTCTTTTTCACTCCCCTTCACCTCTTCTGTGACCCCTTTTCCCCCACTCCGCACCTCCACCGCCCCACCCTGTAATCCTTGCCTTGTTCTCTCACTTGGCGGGTTTCATTAGCCCTGAATTCCGGTCCGTGGCACTCCCGGAACCTCCCAGACCCACCCCTGCCCAGGCCCAGTATGGTCCGCAGATGCCAGAGCCCGTCCCTTCCTGCAGAGGGCCGCCACCTGGCCGGTACACTGAGCTGCAAGCACATCGAGACGTCGGCCGCGCTGCACCACAACACGCAGGAGCTCTTCGAGGGCGCCGTGCGCCAGATCCGGCTGCGGCGGAGCCGGGGCCTCGCCGGGGCCAAGCGGCCGGAGCGGTGCAGCCCTGAGGGCCCCGCGCCGCCCGCGCGCCGCGAGAGCCTCACCAAGAAGGCCAAGCGCTTCCTCGCCAACCTGGTGCCGCGCAACGCGAAGTTCTTCAAACAGCGCTCCAGGTCGTGCCACGACCTCTCGGTGCTCTGAGCCGCGGTCGCCACGGCCACTGGGGTCGCCATGGCCACCGCGCCCTCCGCTCACCCTCCGCCCCGCCCCGCGCTGCCCAGGTCTGGCTTCCTTTGTGGAGGCCGTCTAGGAAACCAAAACCTCCCAGGTGCCCTAGTGTGGCCACGGGGGTGGGCCTCCTGCCCCAGACCCGGGGCGGTTGCGTTCTCTGGGTGCCTCCTGGCCCCAGAGTGCCTGGAGGGCGGAGATGCAGACCTGCAAGCGTGCGCACTGCGGAAGGTGAGCGCGGCGGGCTCTAGGGGGTCAGGAAGGAAAATTTTGAAAGGTTTTTTTTTTTTTTTAATTGATTCACGCTTGGCCACCTCTCCTGTAAAGAGATTCTAAAAGCGAGAACTGAAAAAGTGCGTTGTAGACTCCTTTATGGAATTATCCTCCTTTGTATTCTGCGTGAATATGCCTCCCCTTTAAGACATTCTTCTCAAGAGACCCTTCTCCAGAGACTTTTCGGCAAATGTCAGGCTCTTGTCTGCTGCACTTGTCCACTTTTCCCTTAAGGAAAGCTTAAAGGCAATGGCCTGGAAATTGTATTTTTGAGAATTCTGGGATTTACCATTACTCCATGGCACTTCCCCTTTAAGGTCATTAAAGGTAATGTGTGGATGGGCTTGAGACGCCTATGTAAACTGATGAGTGGGTGGCAACCCCCTTTGGCCAGGGCCCATGAGGCACCAGTAAGGGGCCACCTCTTCACTTTTCAATAAAGAATTTTTCTACGTTCCCTTGACTCTTTGTTCTCAATGCCACTGGGGAAGCACATCGAGAGACGTCGGCCCTGCTGCACCACAACACGCAGGAGCTCTTTGAGGGCGCCGTGCGCCAGATCCGGCTGCGGCGGAAGGGGTGGACGTGGATAGAAACATCTTTTACAGACAAGAAAACTCAGGCCCAGTGAAACAGGAGACCTAAATCGCTAAGGAGCCTCCAGAACTGACTTCACCAATGACAAGACCTTCAGAGATAATCGGGTCTAACTCCTCTTAAGGGATAAGAAAACTGAGGCGTAGAGAGGAGCAGGGGTCTGCTAGAAGTCATTCAGTAACTTGGTGGCACAGTTGGACCAAGGCTCCAACTCCTTACCCAACCCTATCCTGTGGAGAGCAGGCTGGAGGCTACACATAGCTCCCAGAGCTACACTCAGCTCTAACCTGTGCTGGCTCAGGGTGGAGCCACCATCTACCAGGGAGGCCCATCAGCTGAAACCATGGGGTCTGCCTGCACCTTCCCTGGCAGGGCCCTGCCACCCCGGCTGTCACCTGCAATGCCCATGTGAAAGCTGAAGCTGTCAGTGCCTCCCTGAGGACGCCCACGTCTGCTGCTGCCAGAACAAAGGGAGCAGAGGCAGCAGCTCCCCTCACCCCTAGACACACAATACAGCTACCTGAGCACCTGAGTGCCAGGCCCCCACCCAACTCCACACAGTCTCCCAGAACTTGATGAAAGAGCAGTGACATGTCTTCTAAGTGCAGCTGGGGAAGAGCCAAGGGGGACTAGCCTAGCGTGGGTGGCTATGAGATGATAATATAAATTATGGCACTATCCTTAGGACTTCATGCACTTTAACTCAGTTAATTCGTTAACTATTTAAGGTGTTATTAACCATTTTACAGTAGAAGAAACAAAGAGTTTGAGTAACTTGCCTGAAGTCACCCAGTGAGCAACAGAGCAGGAATTCCACCAATGTCTGCCAGATGCTTAATGATTATTTTATCCATCTGTTATGAATTGAATTGTGTCCCCCAAAAATATATGTTGTAATTTCTAAATCTCTCTGCCTGTGGTTATAATCCCATTTGGGAATGGGTTATCTTTGTTATGTTAATGAGGCAGGATTAGTGTAGGGTGTGCCTTGAGTCCATCTCTTTTGAGATATAAAAGACATTAAACAAGTGAGTTAGCAGAGATGAGGAAAGAGAGGTACAAAGCCACATGAAGATCCCCAGGAGCAGAAGCTCAGAAGAGACAAGGACCTTCCTCCAGAGCCGACAGAGAGAGAAAGCCTTCCCCTAGAGCCGGCGCCCTGAATTCAGACTTCTAGCCTTCTAAACTGTGAGAAAATAAATTTGTTTGTTAAAGCCATCCACTTGTGGTATTTCTGTTATAGTAGCACTCGATATTAACTAAGACACCATCTTTGCAGCTGAGTTCCCATTCCAGAAAGGATAGGAGGAAGAGGAGGGACAACAGAAGAGATGCTGGGGACACCATGGGCTGCTGGAGTGAAAGAGCCAGGGAGATTGCATGGCTATTGCGTAATAAGCAAACTCTAAGCTCTGAGGGCTCATAGGCAAAGGCAATTCAATTTTTAAAATGCAGGAAAACACACTGGCCCATTCATGGACCAGATGGTTCTACAGTTGGGTTGAAACCTCAGGGACATGAAGAGGAGGGGTAAGAGACAAGCAAGGAAAAGAAGGTTTGAAGCTCCACTGCAAAAGATCTTAAATGTAAGGCAAAGTAATTTGTGCCCAACTCTGAAGGCAGTGATAGTAACTGAAGGTCTTTGAGTGTGGAAGTGACATGCTCAGGATGGTCCTTTGGGAAGAGGAGCCTGGGAGAGGTGTTCATGGATGGGAGCAGCTGAGGCAGAGCCTAGGAACCAATAACAGTAATACAGAGGAGGCCAACTGAAGGATCATCCTGAGGGGGATGGCAGTGGGAAAGGAGGCATGTTTTGACAGCCAGAAGACAATCAATGAGATTTGGCAACTGAGTGAGTGACTATAAAGAGAAGGAGGAGTCACAGGTGGTGGGAAGATAGTAAGGAACTAGGGGATTTAGGGGGCAAAGGAAGTAGGGTGGTAGGTGAGCTCCATTTTGAAGATACTGAATTTAAGATGCTAGGAGGACATCCATATGGATACCCCTGGACAGCTGGGTCTGAAACTCAGAAAAAAATTGTGCCAAGAGACACAGAGATGAGAATAATCACCATAAAGATAATAGTGGAAGCCAGGGGAAAGGATGAGATGCAGGGCCAGCTTTATGAGTATGTGACCTGTGCTTAGTTTAATCTTCTGATGTCACTGTCTAGAAATTCTTGATAATTTTATAACAAAGGGCCTTATATTTTCATTTTGCATGAAGACCTGCAAATTATGTAGCTGGCCTTGATGGGATGCTAAGAGAGAGAGCTCAGTACAAGCTGGGATCCTTCACCCCAGACCACAGATGGGCTGTAGAGGCCTGTGATTCCTGTGAAATGAACATACTAACTGATACGATTGTGCAGTAATACGCTTGTCTGAGAATAGGGTCCATGAATTTTATCAGATTCCCACTGTTGATACTGTATACTGATTGCCTCTGGGAAGGAGAACTGGGAGGGGAGGACAGGGGTAGGAGACTTACTTTTCATTGTATCCTTCTTTTGTGGGTTTTGAATTTTGAACCATGCATATATATTACCTGTTCAAAAACTAAATACAATAATTTAAAACAAAATAAAGTATCACTGTTGCAGAGGAAGAAGAAAGACCAAGGAGAGTCCTGGGGATAGGCAGATGAAAAAGGCAGAGAAGCCATAGCCAAAGAGAAAGTGGAAAAACTGGGATGGAGCAGGTGGTAACCTCTGCCAAGGCAGGGGAGTTTTTCTAGAAGGACAGTATCACCAGTAAGGTCAGATGTTGCAGGACAGGAGGATGAGGAACAAGAAAAGCCGGCGCCTTTCACGTGGTGGAAGCTTAATAAGTGCATGCTGAAGATGATGATGGCAGGACCTCCCCCATGAAGGAAGTCACACACAACACCACAAGCCTCCCCCGTCCCAACACAGCCAGTCCCATCAGCCTGACCCATCTGTGTGTTCCCTCCAGACGCCTACAGGGAAGAGCTCAGAACAGACAGAAGCTGAAGCCAGGCTCCAATCAGACTTGGGAGAGGTGGGGTCTTTTCTGAGATCCAGGCCATTCTCCTCCCTCAGATCAAGGCAAAGTAGGGCCCCTGATCTGGGCTGGGGTGAAAGGCTAGCAAAGGGCCCTGGGGCCTGAGCTGCCTGTGCCAGGTAAGGTCCCCTCTACTCGTGTGCTTCTGTTAACAGCTGCAATTTTGTTTTGGGGCCTGGGTGCTGCTGGTGTTCCCTTACCAGCCCCTGCCCACCCCTACTACTACTTCTACTGCCCCCTGCCCTCAAGGCCTCCTCGTGGGCTCAGAACATAAGACTGTGTGTGCCCTCCCCAGCGGGGCCAGTGGAGAGAGCAGTCCTGTGTCTGGAATGGTCCCCTTCCAGTCAGGGCCTCTGCCTCTAGTTGGGCCTTCAGGCCCTGCACATCTAACCCTCTTAGAGAGGGATGTGGTAGGGGCTCTTCACTTCTGAAAGGCTGCCAAAGCTATGAAAAAGCATTTCACAAGTCCCCTACGTTACTCCCAGGAAGATACACACACGCATACACACACATCCTTTTATTAATCTAATATAACTCTAATCCCTGTCAGTCTAAGTAAAATTTCCTGGACATTTTTATCTTTCATCCACAGATACTTGAAGACTTATTGTTCCCCTCAAATACTAAGCATCTGCTCTATGCCCATCACTGTGCTAGGCTCCGTGGGGTACACAAATACATATGACACTATCTCTGCCCTCAAGTAGCTTACAATTGAGCTGGGGGGAGAGCCAAAATAGCAGCAAACTATACCACATCCTGCCTCGAGTAACTGGGAGCTATTTATGTGCTCTAGAAATTCAGAATGGAATAAATAGTAAATTAGAAGGCCTACCTTTTAGGAATTGGGCCTTGAAGGATATATAGGCTGTAGATAGACAGGGGAAAGAAGGAAAAACTTTCCTTGCAGTGAATCTGTATGAGCAAATACACAGAGGAGAAATGGTGAACAGCTCACCACATGATGAGGAAAAGCTCAACCCTCCCCAGTGGTGCAAATGGTTAATGTACTTGGCTGTTAACCAAAAGGCTGGAGGTTCAATTCCACCCAGAGATGCCTCAGAAGAAAGGCCAGGTGATCTACTTGTGAAAAAATTAGTCATTAAAAACCCTATGGATGTGAGTGGCCATCTAAGATACAACTATTGGTCTCTTCCCGTCTGAAGCAAAGGAGAATGAACAAAACCCAAGACTCAAGGAAGAAATTAGTCTACAGGACTAATAGGTCATGTGAATCACAGCCTCTTCTAGTCTGAGGCCAGAACTAGATAGTGCCCAGCTACCACTCTTGACCATTCTGACCAGGGACACAATAGAAGGTCCCAGTTACAATGGGAGAAAAATGTAGAAAAAACTCAAATTCATAAAAAGACCAGACTTACTGGACTAATAGACTAGAGGAACCTCCATGACTATTGCCCTAAGATACCTTTTTAACCCGGCACTGAAGCTACTCCCAGAGATCACCTTTCAGCCAAATAACAGATTGGCCTATAAAATAAACAATAATATCATTGGGGAATGTGCTCCTTTAAATAATCAACTATACAAAACCAAATGGACAAAGCAAAGATGAGAAGGCAAGGAGGGGCAGGGAAACTGGATGGATGGAAACAGGGCAGGCAGATGGAAAATGGTGACAGTGCTGATACATTGCGGGGACTGTAACCAATGTCATGGAACAATTTGTGTATGAATTGTTGAATGGGGATCTAATTTGCTGTGTAAACTTTCGCCTAAAACACAATAAAATTTTTTTAAAAAAGTAAATCATACTTCTAGGAATTAATGCCTGTGTCTATATTCAGCCATGAGCACAAGATGATTTGATAAGTGTATTCACTATATATATTTTTTAGGAGCAAAAAAAAGGAAATAATCTAAATGTCCAAGAATTGATACTTAAATAATGATGCTTCTAAAAAAAAAAAAAAAAAACCCGTGAAGCAGTTCTATTCTGACACATACAGGGTCACCATGGGTTGGAGTTGACTCTAAGG